CAACAATTTCGTCATTTAGAACGGATGCACATTCATACACCCACACATTTAAAGCATAGGGCATGCCACTTAAACGATACAACTGCTTAACTATGGTTCTCTCTTTCCTCCATGACATCATTAACCTTGAAAATGCACGTTGTCCCCAAGGAAAATATTCATATGTACCGTCTTCAACCATCAAGAAGTCATTAACATGGATGGGTGATTCAGGTTGTTGTGAGAGAACAAATGTGTTGAGGAAGTAGAGAATTCCCTTGTGGAAAGCATCCTGATCGTTGTCCCAATTACCTTGAAGAAAACGGTTAACAAGTTGTGCCTTACTCACACTATTAGACTTTACTAAATTCGGAAAATATTTCTAAATAAGGCTGCTCTTTGAGGTATTGGGATACTGAAAGTCATTGGGATCTCCAATGCATTTCAATCCTGTTATCATAGCAAATTCTTTTATACCGAAGCGCAAAATATTCCCATTCGCATGCCGAACATAAGCTCGTTAGGGTTATCCTGTTCAATCTCAAGAAGCAACAAACATTTGGATATTTGGCCCTGATAGTTGCAGGTATGAATGTCGGTATATGGCCCAAAAATAGAATTTGTAAACAACTCGAAAGCCTCGACATTCATGTACTTTTTCAAATCTTGTACAAAGTCATTGTTGTATGCTGCACCAAATTTCAAATAGTGTGTAGGGATTTGCTTGATAACATAACTCATAGTCTGTAAGAATCCAAAAACATAACAGAATATTATGCAAAAATAACAATTTGTTTAAGATGATACAAAATATAACACATTGTTAAGAAAGACACATTAATGACTGAGATACAAAAAATAACAGATACACAAACAGACTCACAAACAAAACACGTACGATACACATACAGACCCATAAATAAAACACATTATATGTAACTGATACAACATTTACTATGAAAGACACATTATATGTAACTGATACAATATTTAGTATGAAACTTGAAATAGCAGATACACATACACAGACCCATAAACAAAACACAAACGATACATTAATGACTGAGATCTACTGAACAATGCATGTTATAACAGTTGAAATAAAATACATTATAATTTGACTTAGTTAGGGTTAGTGTATAAATTGATTACAGATAATAACGATACATTAAATAAGAGACCTGAATTTGTGCATTTTTTGTATCATAAATTGATGAACTACCAAAAAAAATTACAACATTCGAAAGAAGAAGAACTAAAACCTAACCTCAGGTAATGGAGGTCGAGAAATTGGAGGAGCAAATTTTCGACCCCTTTTTTTGGGGATTTTACGAACGGTTTTTGAAGATGAAGCTAAAATCGTTTTTTCTTCTTTCCATCTTTTACATTCGCCATTAACAATGGGTCATGTAGGCTTTTGGATCTGTTCTTCTCCCAACCAGTATCTTCATAGTCATATATCCGATTAGTGTTAGCATCATCCATCTGATTCAACAGTTAGAAGAACAAACAAAAGAGTATTTCAACAGTATACGAAGAAACAAAAGCGGATTACAAGAAAAGTATCAAATTTACCTAGAGTATACACAGAGAGATACTTGATTTTGAAGAATGTTGGAGAAATCAACTGTAAAAGAAAATGTGGAGAAGTTTTAGGAGAGAGATAAGAAAAGAATGAACTCGGCACTACAAAAAAACTGTGAATTACATGGGGATTTGCCTGGAGAATAGTATAAAATTCGCAGGAAACTTATTTTCCTGCAAATTTTCATACTAATTCCTTGGAAAATCTCCATGTAATTCACAGTTTTCTTGTAGTGTTGGTTTTTAGCGTAGGAAAGGCCCAATATTGTATCCGTGAAATTTTTTGACTTAAAAGAGAAAAAGAAGGATTTTGGGGATTAATAAAACTATTAAGGGAAAATATTAATAAGTAAACTTAAGGGGGGATTTGTGTCATTTTGCCAAAATATATTTATGTATTATGTATCGGGCTTTGAAATATATAGTGTGACAAGTTGTTAAGTTGACCAGTAGAGTAGGTCCAGTTACTTGGGTAATGGAGCCCCTTTGTTTCTGTTCTAGTCTTAATGTCCCCATAGAATTGTTGTCGCCAAAAGGAAAGAATCAATAACTCAACAGTTTAAAAGATACCATAGAGTTTGGTCTTCATCGTGTGCATTGTACAAATGGTCACTATATATAATATTATTGAGGAAAAGTTACTATATTTGTGTAAAAGGCAAGACTTCAACAACTATAACTAATAATCGCTATTAAAATGACTTCAATCTAGTGCTATTCATTCGATCATGTTTTTCAAAATCGAGCATTCTTACACATGCTATGAGAGTGAGGGGCGAGAGAAAGAAAAGAGGCGAGCGAGAGAGGAAAAGAAAGAAAGAGAGACAGGCAGAGAGGCGAATGATATAGAGGAGAGAGGTGTGAGATTTTATTTTTTCTTGCTTAGATTCTTAAATAGTAGCTATGAAAGAAAAATATCAAAATTATAGTTATAAATCTCTAATCATGTCAAATGATAGTGATTATTAAAATTTCCTCATCTACTACATATAGCTTGCCATTTTGGCCCTTTTTTTATTTTTAAAAAAATCACTCATTACAATGTAATCCTCAAATTAAGTTTTGTTTAGCGAAAGATTATTCTCTCAATAATTGTTCTTTTTCTATGAATCATACATAAGTCAATTGATTAAATCTGGTTAATATATTATACTAAGTCCTTTTATGATTCACACGACATCTAATCATTTCGATCCAATAATCAACGTGTCAAACTTACTTTTAAGAGAACAAAAACAAGTTGTCTATTGATCCCATCACAGTTCTCAATAATTTATTGTGTTGTATCAATTGTTGATAGTAAAACAATGAGGACAAACGCGTGCAGCTGTTTGAAGTGGTACGTAGAGAGTATGAGAGAACTGTGAGAGAGAAAAGAGACCTACCTGCACTGTACTGCCAACATTTATACATTTCAAAAAGGGTAAAATACCATCATTGCTATGCAGTTTGCACCAAAACTAGTACTACACATCATCACTGTGACTATCTTTTGTTCTTTTGTTCTTTTGTTTTCCAAAAATCGAAACCCTAATTCTAAGGGCCCATTTAGATATGTGATGAGTAATTATAATATGAATTCAAAATGATATGGAGTTTAAGTTTTATTTTGATATGTAATTTAAAGTATACTTATTTTCTTCATAAACATGAAAATTTTATAAATTATGAATATTAAGTATTATAGTTTCATAATTTTTATACAATAAGCAAATCATATTTCATAAGATATCTAAATATCCTGAATGTCGCATTGATAAACACATATTTTCATGTGTCTTTTAAAAGAAATGATTGCTATTATTAACTTTCAAATATAGATAAATTTATATATACTCACTAGTCAATGATGGTAGAATTTGTTATTATTTAGTATAATCATTTCACATGGTATGAATAATCTTTTTACACCAAACAAGAGTCTATTTTTACAAAATTTAAAATGATGGATCTTTCTTTTAATTACAAAACATAAGTTTATGAGTCAAGTTTTACCTTTAAAACATATTTAAATCACGATTTGAAATCCCAAATCATACTTTATAGAGAATTTGAGGTTTGTTTAAGGTCAGGATTCCACTTGGCATATTCAAGTCATGATTTGAAATTATTTTTTCTTTTTATTTTCTTTTTAAAAAACTGGGGGTGGGGGAAGGGGATTACAATGTGGGGAATCAAACCTTCACAAACAAGGTAGGAGTTTAGGTAACCAACCAACTAAATTATTAAGATTCTCCTAATTAGATTTCATGACTTCATATCGTATGTCCAAATGCAAGCTTATATTCATCCATTTTAAATTGTTTGATTGATTCTGATTTCATATGAAATTTAAGAAAATGGAAAAACTTTTGAATGTTGTGGTCTTAAAATAAAATTATATTGAATGTACTAAAATGTCTTTTAATATTGTGTCAAAATAGGAAAAGACAATATGTATTTAAAAAAATAAAGCAAATAAATTGAATGGCCTCCTTAAATACTTGTGCATTTAAAAGGTGTCTGGTTTTATATTTTTGATTGTTCAATATATTGTCCTTCACTAGTTAATGTGTTCAACAACTCCTTCTCAACACATATGGAAGACATAAAAAGGGGGGCAGAGAGAGAATCCAACCCATCAAATCTCTAATTCTCTGTATAATCCCTTAAGTTAGGGGCATCACCTATCTTTGCTTTATTCAGGATTATACAAGCATGAATTTTGACAAGTAAATTCAAAAATAAATACAAAATTGCCATATATGAGATTTTAACCTCTAATTCTTTTAAGGATCAAAGGTTATTCAAAAGTCATAGATGTACAAAAACTGAAAAAACACTTGTTTAATTTAATTCTGACTCCGTCACTACTGCTCTAAGAGTTTCTATAATTGTAAAGCATTTTAATCAAAGTAAAAAAAAAGGTTCTCAAATACAAATGTAACATTATTTTTTATGATAAACTAAAGAGAAGAGTTTTATATAGAATTATTGAAAGAGAGATCCAACTAATTTAAACTGATAATTATTTTCATCACATACCCTTAAGGGTTATTTGGGGTAGGGGAAATGGGGAAGAGATTACAATGTGGAGAATCGAACTCTCACTAATAAGGAATACTCCTTTTGCCCTCAAATAATTGTTTACTCTCTTCTTAGTATCAGATTATACACGTAATAATTTGAGATTGCAAAATTTAAAAGTTTTACTTTTTAAAATTTTGTATTAAATCAAAACCATACAAATAAATGAAAAAGAAGGGAGTAATATTTATTGTAATTCGAATCGCCCAGTTACGATTTTTGTTTTGTGCAATTCCATGTTTGTACTCCAATTTTTATCCAGCTGCAGGTGGGTGAAAGCAGCAATGGATGAAGAACTCTAGATCGAGTAAATGCATGTAATATTGGTCTAAAAATATACTTGAGATAATTATACTGATGATAGTGCCTGTGATTACATATTATATTATTTAGAAATGTTGATCTTCATCATGTTGTATGCTGCCCTATAAAAGGGGCTGCTAGTTGAAAAATTAATTACTACAATTTTGATAATTATTAAAACCATAATTTTATGCAGGGAATTGAATCATGAGTTGAAACAATCAAAATTAAATTTTAAATCCACCTCTAGTTGTATCAAAATTGTTACTTCCTCCATCAAGTCCGCGGATTATATGTTGCTGCTGTTGTTGTTGTTGTTGCTGATCTCTAGGAAAAAACTGATGGTGATACAAGAGTTGGTTATGATCTCTCCCACCACCACCTCCTCCTCCTATCAAATTGAATCCCAAATGACTAGTGGTACTAGCAATGCCTCCTACATTTTGATACTTTGACAGTTCGGACTTTGCACAGCTAAGGTCTAGCTGAAGCTGTCGGAGCTGGTGTTGGAGAAGAGAGATGACACCAACGCAACCATAGACTGGATCTCGGAGACGCATGTCTGCCTCATAAGCAAGAGAGTTGACAGCGTCTTCCCTTTGGTGAGGCTGCAACTCATTTAGTAACTTTGTCACATTGCTGGCTCCAAATATTTTGTGAACATTTGCAAATTTCTGGGGCTGATCAGGAGGGAAGTAAGGTGCAAACACACATTCTGGTTGACATTTACGACGAAGGAATTTACATGCTGCACATGGTGAGTAGGATGATAATGAAGGTGATGAAGATGAAGCCATTCACTACTACTACAAATTCTCTCTCTTTAATACCTGCAAATAACAGCCATCACTACATAAATAAGGCTACCTAGCTAATATTTGGGATTTTTGTATGATTATAATTCTATCCACTAATTCCATATCAACTTTTAACATCGTAATTAACCTGATCAATAATAGATTGACAATAATCCGCAAAATATAGCATCATTAATAGAGTTAAAAGTTTTCCTTTCCGATTCAAACTCTAATTGTTAGTACTCCCTATATATTTATTTTCTCGGAAATTCCTTGCCATATGAATCTTGTACAACTTGAAGGACTAGTGCATTTTTTCATATCTAAGATAACACTTTTTTTTCTAAAAGAGATCGATGTTCATTACACCTACTAAGAAGGAAAATAACCTTTCACAATCCAAAGGAGAGAGCAATTAGCTCTATGGCACCTCAGCTCCAATAATAAGACACCTACAAATTGAAAAACCTTCTACTATTGAAAAAAAAAATAAGGTGGATATTGAAGAAAGAAAGAAGCAGCGCAGATATAACAAAAATCAGGATTGATTACTGTTAACTTTAAAATAAAAGCAATTTTCCCCCATATATAAGTTGAGGATAAAACAAGGTTTAATTAAGAATGAAAAATTATATATAATATACTAACAGTAATTAATAAGTACTAAGGATTCGATGGGGATTGGATCCCGTGAAAGTGTGGAAGTAAGAGCTTAATATATTATTATTATTATTATTATCTAACTTCTCACGATCTAGAACCCAAGGATAACCCACTGCAAATCACACTAGGTGAGTCTTATGCAACAGACTCGACTCAAAAGGCATTAGAAGGATCAATTCCGAGTGATCTACATGGATGACCACCCTCCAAACTAACTTACGATCAAAGAAAATTAGATGTTATAGCTGAGTACCTCCTGATTCTAATTTCCGTGCCACAGTGTCGTATGTCCTCGAACACTTCGGTCAAAACGTACGTTTTTTTTTCCCAGTTTCAGTGCATATGGCTCGATTTTTGTGATGAAGAGGTGAAAGTCAAGCTTTGGATCTCGTGGAGTGACAGCTATCTTTTCAGCCTTTTCTTTTGAGATTTCATATATATGGTGGTAGAAAGAAAGGAGTTAATAATGAATCATGCACAAGGGTGTGTGCTTTGGAAACGAATAAAATGGCAATATTTAAGCTTCCGTTTTTAAGGGGAAAATTAAAGAAGGTGAATGTTTTGTAGTAACAAGGGGCAGGGGACAAGCATATAAAGATGGTGACAATAATATATGCCAAACGCAACAAAAGGAACTTTACTGTTCTAATTTGGCATTTTCCTTTCTAACACTCTTAACTTTAATATTCTAATGTTTTTTTTCCCTTCCTTTTTAATTATATCCCCACCAACAGGACAATCTGTTTTTATTATCAACTCTCATTTTATCTTTTTCAAAATATAATTGATATTTTTTATGTCTAAATTTATATGACTTATTAAAAAGAATTATATATTTTTATATTTAGTACACAGTTCAACTTTAAATAATATTTTGTTTTATACTTAAACAAACAAATATTTATGACTTATTTTAAATCATAAATTTTAAAAATCTTTCTTTATTTTTTAAACTATATGTCAATCAAATCAATTCACATAAATTAGAACCAAAGGAGTAATAATTTAAATGAATAGTAATTAAAGAAGAATTGTTTTTACTTTACAAGTAGTAAAATACAGTGGAACGTACACAATCACACATAATACATGATAGTGTCGAAATTCCTTACACTGCTTGAGATTGTTTAGCTCATGAAATAATAGGTATATAATAATATATGTGAAACTATTTAATCTCTTTGTTTTGTTGAATTTTTATTTTAAGTATTAAAAATCTCCTGGACAAAACAATTGAATGACTACAATGTTCTTCTTCTAAAGTCTTTTAAGAAGATTAAGGTAAATATTACAAATAAAAGATTATCCAATATTTTTTTTATCAATTATGTTTAAACCAAACAAATATTATATATTATTTTAATTCTCTCCATATTATATTAATGTCGATATAAAGCTCCACGGTTTATTTGCAAAACAAATGATCCATGAGTAGTGTATCCATGAGTCCTGCACCAAAAAGGATCTATATCAGAAATTAATTAATGACAATGTATTAATTATTGCTACATATGTATTTTTAGCGACACTTAACACTCTTTATAAATATTCCTAAAGCCTATATATATATTATATCTAATGATAATTAACTAATACCAATAAAAAAATTATCATTCTTTATGAATATTTATATTTATTGTTGTTAATTATTGTTTCTTGTTTAAAAAAAATATGATCCAAGAGGGGAGAAGTAGTAGAAAGTGAAGTCGCCCAAGAGAAGAGGCTTCGGAGGCGGGCCGAAAGAGAAAGAAGAGAGTGTAATAAAAGCAAAGTCAGAGAGTTGTTTAATATTTGTGTATTCATTTCATGTCATATATATGGGAAGGGAGCATTTGAGGGTTTTCTGATAGAAGAAAGTGGGAGGTTGAGGGAATTAAACTTGTCTCGTGACATTGATGTGACCTTTCCTAATTATTCCATTTGTTACTCATTCAACATCCTGTCCCCCACCCCACACATCCCTACCTTCTACATCTCTCCTTTTGTTTTCTAGTATAACTAAAGGGCATAAATTATTTAGCCATAATACATGATAAATTTGTCTTTTAATTTGACCCCATTCATATTTATATCCTTCCTTTTTCGATGTGCATAACACACGTAGGACGCAAATTATCATGTATAATATCACGTAGGACGTATGTATTTATTTATTCAACATTATACAAGTTTAAGTGTCTACTTTTGCGCACTCAAAATTGGAGAGCATAAATATGAGTTGAAGTCAAATATAAAGGCATATTTATGTATTATGCCAATTATTTATACCTTCGAATTTTACTTTAAAAATCAAACTTTTTCATCAATTTTGAAAAATAATCATTTTTTTCTCCTTTTCCTACATTATCAGTTTTTTGTTTTTTTTCTACTTCTTTTAATAAAATCATATTAATGTTTTTATTTTTTTAATCTATAAAACATTCTTTTTATTAAAATAATATAAATTTGGTCTTAAAAAAGGTAAAAATATTGATTGAGTATACAATTTGATGTCGTTCTATAATGAAATAAATGAAAAAAATAAAAATAAAAATAATGTGACTTATTTTAACGAAATCTATAATGTAATAACCTTATAAACATATTTTGATGCATAAAAAGGAATTAATAAAAATGAAAGATATATTTGATAACATTTTTTTATAAATTTTTTTTTTTATTGAATTATTGATAACAAAACTAATTATTTTTCTAAAAAAAATTAAAATTTTGAAGGTATCGTCAATTACTCCTTTTCATATAACTTTAGAAATGATAATTTTAAAAGAATCAATAAATTCCCTGAAAATTGAAATAACTTGGTTGAAATCGAATAAAAAAAACTATATGATACCTCCTAATCATTTTGAAATCTAATGGGTTTATCAAATTGTTCGAAATGTAAGAAATATTTAGATTAAGTTTTAAAATTAAAGAGAGTAAAACTAATAGTAGTAAAAAAAGGAAGGTGAAGTTGTGGTAAAAATTGTGACATTGAAAGTGAAAAAGCTTCAATGGAGATGACAATGAATTTTTTGAAGAAAAAAGAGAAAAAATAATAAGGAAAAAAAGTTAAAATAATAAGAAAATATATTTTATAATAAAATACTTGTAAAAATAAAATTATATTAGTTATTTTAGTTTGCTCACTCTCTTTGAGAGAGTGCACACATTCTCTATGTAAGGTGGACAAAAAATGATGTAATAATATCAATTAAAGATTGTTTAGTGGGGTAATAGGACGCCCACATAGTTAAGGTCTCTTTTTAAAAATTCGGAACAAATTCAAGTGTCACTTTATGTCTTTTCTCTTTTTTTAATAAATCCACTGAATTAGTGGATTGCCCATTTACTTAATACATGAACTACTTACATTTATGCATACATATTTCCTAGGTTCTATGAATCATTTGGATAATAATGTATCTATTAATTTGGGTATTTAATACAATAACTTTTGGAGTGATTTATCAACCTATAAAATATGGTTATCATTCACCATTGTAAGATCACTTAAGTCCTGAAGACATTTGAATAAGATAATTTTACATTATAATCTCCACACCTCTTGTTTATATTGCTCATGTTTTAGAATATTATTTATATTGTAAATAATTTTTTAATAATTTATAAAATATTTGTTCATTAATGGAAATCAAAATTTGCTTATCTACATAGATAATACAGAATAAGAGATATGCATAGTTACATAAATGTTTCCTTTTAACTTGGTTTCAGTTGTCATTTATGCCCTTCAACTTTGGATGTGCACAAGTAGACACTTAATCTTTTATAAATTTGAACAAATAGACACACATGTTCTACATGACAATTCATATGAGATACACTCTATAATGTCCAATTTTTTGAGAAATTATTTTGATATGTGAAATGACATTTTTCCCTTCCCCTTGGCGTTTCATGCTTATTATGTGTTCCAAAAATGGTTAGTGTGGCACCCCAATGCAATCGGGTGAGATTTCGGTGGATTTGAGCCTTTTGAGTTGAGTTATATTGAAATAGTTAATTTTAGTCATAATTTCGTGATCCGAGTGTTGGATGGGATTCTATTAGTTTCATTTAGTCTGGAATGTCGAGCTCGGTCTAGTGAGGTGGTCGGTTAGAGTCTCGAGACCTTAGGTTGTGATTTAGATATTTTAGGTTAAAAGTTGATTTTTTGGCCTAAATGAGTTCGGAAGGGGTATTTCTATCATAAAAAAATTTTCTTTTGAAATCTGATGATTCCATTGATTCCGAAATATGTTTTATCATAAATTTGCACTATTGTTTCGTGTTTATAGGGTTCCGAATTAGTTTCGATGGTCAAAAAAATATTTTAAAGGTTGTTGGTGCACACTTTTAGCGACGGAAAATAGACTTTTAGCGACGGAAAATGGGATTTTGTGTGAAATCGCGGAGTTAAATATCAATTCGAACGTGTATCATATTTTGATATTGTGTGAGCTAGAAACGTCAGTTTGAGGCAATTTTTGATGCGTTTTTCTTTCATAATCATTAGGTACGTATTTCTAACCCTATTTTAGTCTTTTCCCAATAATATCTCTTTCATATTTCATGATTTCTATCCACAAAGTGGAGATTTTAAACTTCAAAGTAGAGAAATCAAAAATTGTTGATTTAAACGTCAATTTGAAATCGATTTTCATTGATTTTCAGAATTTAAGGTCCTTGTATTGTGGGTAAACTGATTTTGAAAAAGTTTTTCCAAAATTTCTCGTTTCTAACATTATTATTATTTTTCCCCAAGTTGAAAAAAATGGTAATTTCTTGATTTGAAACTCGATTCCTTCTCAATTTTAATGTGTTTTTCTCAACCACAAATTCCTTTTTACTTGTAGAACATGTTTTTCAAATAAAATTCTAATTTTACCATTCCCAATTTTTAAGAGACTTTTAGAATATTTTATCCCCGATTTCTAGTCCTATCAATATGGGTATCATTGGACTCTTTTTGATGAACTCTTTCCACTATTTATAGTTGGGGATCATTTCGATGATCGTGTGTGTAACACCTCGAACTTTGAAAAGGGTAAAGTGGGTTAACGGGCAGGTCGATAGGCCTAAAATCAACCATGGACCCTTCGAGGAAACCTAAATAGATCGTGAAAAGGGTCCACGACCCGTTTAGGGAAGTGGCCCAGCTGTTTAAGGCTGCCAGGAATTGGGGTCACCTGTACGGCTCCCTAAATGGCCAGTGGTAACTTATACAGACCGTTTAGGGATCCATATAAGTCACCCGTCAGCTTTTAAGTCAATGTTATTTTGGTCGTTTCCCTATGTACTTTAACACCAAAGCTATGTCGTTTTAACTCCTATTTTAAGCCCTATATAAGTTATTTAAGTTCTAAAACTACCCATTCTAAATCATTCTCCTAAATCATAAATTTTCCTCCAAGTTCATCCCCAAAGTTCTCTCTAAAACTAAGGAAGAAGAAGTTAGGGTTTCACTTCAAGATTTTCAATTCACCATAATTATTGTGCCTTGATCACTAAGGTATCTTAGTATTCACCTATGGAGTCCTTTCCTCCATAGGGT